GATCTTTTATGTTTGATCATATGGAAATTCCATTGCATGATTATTATGGTTCTGTTGATTTTTGGTTGGCAAGACGTAGTATGCGATACAATAAGGAATTATATGAAGTAGCCAATGACTTTAGAAAAAAATATCTTAATTCTACTGATAAAAATGATAAAACAATAAGACCACCTGATTGGAAAGATGAAAAGGTTAACATTTTTTATTATTTTTTTTACATTATAAATAACTACACTAATGATTAATAATTGATAATATATATTTATTTAGAGTAAAAGAAATGCTGTAGGGGGACCCTACTTGGCAATTCATCTTCGTAGAGGTGATTTTTTAACAGGCAGATCAGATACAGTACCGACAATAAAAAATGCTGCTAATCAAGTAATAAAACAACTGAAAAAACTTGAATTAAAAACCGTTTTTGTGGCTACTGATGCAGAAGATTTTGGTAATAAATAACACATAAATAATTTGAAACCTAAAATAGTAAATACATACATAATATTTTTTTTTTTTTTATAGAATATATTGAGTTAACAAAACACTTGACTGGATACAATGTTTACAAATATTTACCTACTGAATATCAGAAAAATAAATTTAAAGACGGCGGAATTGCTATAATTGATCAAATAATTAGTTCACACGCAAAGTACACTTTTATTTATTTTTTCAATAATTTAATTTATTACTAATAATAATAATAATAATAATAATAATAAATATATATATTTTTTTAAGATATTTTATAGGAACATATGAATCAACTTTTACGTTTCGTATTCAAGAGGATCGAGAAATATTGGGATTACCTATAAAATCGACGTTTAATACGTTTTGTGGAAAAAAAAAGTGCCCGAAATCCAGCCAATGGACAATTATTTACGAATAAAAATTTACAATATACTTTTATATACAAAAAATATTTTTATTCACTCGAATTATATATTAAAATTAAATTGACGGAGGTTTACCAATAAGTTCTTGCTCTCTACGAAGTTCTTCTTCGCGTTTTTGTTCTTTGGCTAAAGCTTGCTTTTGTTTTACTTGCTGTAAATAAATAGCACGTTTCTAAAAGAAGAAAAAATAAAATTTAAGATTTTATATAAATTGAACATTAATCATTTATAAATAATAATTCAATTCAACTACCTTTAGTTTTGTCGTTCTTTCATGGATTAAAGCCATTTCTCTCTTTATTCGGCTCAATTTTTCTTGATAAGCTTGTACTGTTATATACTAAAACAAGTAATTTTTTTCAACTGAATTAAAATGTACTTACAACGATATTTATCTGACTCAGATGATGGTTGTATAATTGTAAATAATAAAATTACCATAGCAGCACATTCATCATCTTCAGCAGTGGCTGTAAGATGTTGATTTTCAACTTGCATTTTATTGTCCAGTATTTCTTGTTTATTTCTATTAAAAAATGAAATTATTTAATATCAATACCAATAAAGAATATTGAACTAATTAATCAAAAGAATACAAAGTAAAAATACTTGCAATATTTCCTGTAATTCATTTCCTACTTGCTCTAATGGCGGTTTGTAGGTATCCAGTAAGCCCTGAGCCAAATTATCAATATCCACTGACACTTTAATAACTTTGTCGCTAAAAATACATTGATTAAATAAATAGAGTGTGATTGTTAAAAAGTAAATAGTAAATAGACAACAAGTAAAAAAAACTTACAATTCGTTGATATTGTGTTGAACTTTAGCAGCAGCAGCTTCTCCAATGTCAGTCATCATTTTTATAAACTATTCCTTTATTAAAAATAACTAAGCTTACTTTCCAAATATGTATACTTATACTTTTATATATATATATATAAATTAATACACTCTTGCTGTATTTTTAGAATTTTAGCTTGGTTTTAGGTTACAAATTTTTTTTATCATATTTTATTTTATAATAATAATAATAATAATAATAATAATAATAATAATAATAATAATAATAAATATTATCACACTGTAAACTCGTGAGAATTATAGAAATTACATAGACTGCCACCTTTTTTTTTTTTTTTTTTTAACTGTGATATAGGGT